AGAAATCACCCCCCAGGGGGGATGGTCACGCCGCAATCCCTTCTCCTCCATTCTCCTCTCGGGATCTTGGGCATGCACACGTGCCCGGCGTGAGTTTTAAGCCACAGGGTCCGGGACACGAACCGCGGTCGACTATGTGGGAGTTCAGCGACATAGCCATTACGCTAACTGCCGGTTCCCCGCCCGGTGTGAGTTTTAAGCCACCGGGTCTGGGACTTGAACTGTGGTTGACTATATGGGAGTCCAGCGACATAGCCATTACGTTAACTGCTGGTTCCCCTGGCTTCATTTCTTTATGGCTTAACTTCAAAAGGGTAGTTTAAAACTTTTTAAAAACAATTTTTAAAATAATTTTATTCGTTCATTATTATTCATCAGTTTGACCAGGAGTGATGAGAGAGAGAGAGAGAGAGAAAGCAAGCCACCAGATCTGAGACTCAGACCACGGTCAGCCATGTGGGAGTGCCCAGTGCCTTAACCACCACGCCACCTGCCAGTCCCTAGATTAAAACTCTTAACAGAGTTTTGAAAATCCTGGGGATTTTCAAATCCCCTTGTCCTATTAGCAGTAAGTTGTGAGTGAAAGGACCAGCCTGTCCTGCCCATGCCGACCCTCCAGGATATAGGAAGTTGTCAGCTCTCTGAGATCCGGCCTTGAACTCTTGTTCCTGCCCTTACAAAGAGTTGAAGCTTGACATGATGTTGGAACGTCTTGGTCTAACCCTTTGTTTTATAGATAGAGTAAACTGAGGTGCAGAAAGGGGTTGTAATTTTCTGTTTGGGCTCCTTAAACAGCTGAGTCAGTCTAAGGGGCTCACCCTATCCATCTGTGTTTCCATTTGGAAACTGTTCTGTGCTTGCCCAAATCTTGGAGGAAGCCCAAACTTGTCTCTTCTTAATGCCAAGTAACTGCCTTTTCTCCTGTAAAACATGGCACTTCTAGCCACGCTATATTTGGACAGAGAGGTTTATTTTTACTGGAGTGCGGTAGAAGTGAGGCCTGGTGCCATGTCCGGATGTTATTCCACATTTCACATGCAGGGTGTAGTTGCAGTTCCTGCGAGGCGCTCAGGGAATTAGGTGGCTGGTGGTCGCGTTGTCTCTTTCACGTCACCCACCCCTCCCCTGAATAATCTGCACTCAGTTTCTCAGGCTGAAAGTGTACCCTTCTTGATCTCTTCCTCTCTTTTTCACTCTCTCTTTGTCTTTCTCTCTCTCTTTCGCTCCGATTCCTCCAGAGGAATATAGTCAGATGTTAAAGGTACAGTGGCTCCAGTTGTAACTCGGGCCGTGTTGTCGTGTAGCCCAGCATTGGGCAGGTCACATCATCTTTCTTGTGCCTCAGTGGCCTCCTCTGTAAAATGGGTTAATGGTACTTACCCATAATTCGTTATGAGGATATATGAATATGTGGAAGGTGTGTGGTACATGTTAAATTTTCAATAACTATTGGGGACCAGCAGGTGGCATGGTGGTTAAGGCGCTGGACACTCCCACATGGCTCACCACGGTTCAAGTCCCAGACCTAGTGGCTTGCTTTCTCCCTTTCCCTCTCTCTCTCGCTCTGTGTATCTCTCTCTGGTCAAATTAAAAAAATAAATGAATGAATAAATTTAAAATTAAATAATTATCTTTCTCACTTTCCCTCTCTCTCTCTCTCTGTGTATCTCTCTCTGTTAGGGCGCTGGACAGTCCCACATGGCCGGCTGCAGTTCGAATACCGAACCTGGTGGCTTGCTTTCTCACTTTCCCTCTCTCTCTCTCTCTGTGTATCTCTCTCTGGTCAAATTAAAAAAATAAATGAATGAATAAATTTAAAATTAAATAATTATTTTAAAAAATAAGTGAATGGATAAATAAAATTAAATATTTTAAAAATTTTTCAATAACTATTATCTATTTGTATTCTTAAGATTACTTTTTGGAAAAAGAATTATTTTTATTTATTATTATTATTATTCTTTCTCAATTCACTGGAGAGACAGAGCGCAAGAGAGAGAGGGAAAGCGAGAACGGAAGCAACTCAGTGTTTGGGAACTTGAACCACGTCGGCCATGTGGGAGTCTGGCACCTTAACCACCACACCACCTGCTGGCCCATTAAGATTACTTTTATGAATATTATTTGTCGGCAGTTGACCAATTAGCTCTGACCATTTTCACTCAGAAATGTCTCCTACACCTATCCTCTCTCTCTGCAACTTTTTCTTTTTTTTCTTTTTTACTTATTCATTCATTTATTTTTAATTTGACCATAGAGAGACAGAGAGCGAGAGAGGGAAAGTGAGAAAGCAAGCCACCAGGTCCAGGACTCGAACCATGGCCAGCCATGTGGGAGTGTCCAGCATCTTAACCACCATGCCACCTGCTGGTCCCTGGACTTTGTCTTAATGTGAGTCCTCTTGCCTGGATACTGGCAGGACCTCTAACCAATCTCTCGTCAGCCTTGCCCTTTCCCTATTGCACCTCCTCTGCTGCCAGGGGCCCTTCCTAAGGGCCGCCCCCATCCCTCCACCTCCGCTGGAAAACATGCCCCACCGGACCATCACGTAGCCTGCCTCTCCAGCTACCTCTTGTTTTAGTTTCTGTATTTGTATTCTGCTTAACAACTTATGCCCGAATTCAGCAGCTTAAAACAGCAAACATGTTTTATCTCACAGTTTCTGTGGGTCTAGAATACAGGGGTGGCAGCCCAAGGTGACAGCATAAGGAAATGCTGGGCAAAGGTGGAGATTCCTGGAGCACCTATTTCATGTACACAGTCAGCTGTAAAGCTTAGCTGAGAGAGACACGCACCGTTGATCTGTCGCATACAGTGATACAGTGCAGCAGCCATGTCCCCTGCACTCCCACCCCGAGAGCAGCCTGCGGTGCATGACGTGGAAACGTGTGACAGCCAGCTCGTCCCTGGCCTCATATCATACCAGCATCCTAGCACACTCAACTGCGTGTTTCTCTGGTCCAGTATAGCCCTAAATGTCAGCTGGTGTTTTCCTCTGCTGCTCCCGAGGCGGCAGAACTCCTCCGATTGAAGCCGGCAGGCTGGGATTTCCCGAGAAGAGAAGTGGTAACGCCTGCTTATTGTACTTGATGGGTGTTTTAACGATTTTCTAGGGCAATTTTTACTTCAAGTGATTTTTCCTTTACAGGAGGCCTTGGAACCAATCCTTGTGTAAAATGAGACTCCTTTGGACCACTAAACCCAACCACTCTGCCCTTAATCCCCTGCTTCCTGGGGGGACATTTTGCCCTCCTAGCTAGGAAGGCTCAGTGTGGAATTAGAATTGAACTGCCCTAAAGGGAGAGTGAATAAATGAGGCTAGTGATGTTCTGTCTGGTCACTTAGGCTACCATTCCA